GGGGAGGGGGGGTCGGGTGGGTACCGCGGGATGTAGGGATGTTTTGGGATGGGGGTGCAAAGGGACATCGCCGTAGGGACAGGGTCACCCGGATGTGGGGTTGGTGTTTGCCCCCCTCCACCTCTGCTGCCAACTTCCAAGATGCCCCTCGTCCTCCCTGGTGGCACCACTGGCATCTCTGGGGCTGTAATCAAACCCCCCAGCACCCCTACACCTCAGTGTGGCTTTCATTGGGTGCAGGGTGGCACCTGCCAGGGATGGGGGCAGAGGGGCAGCCACCCCATCTCAGAGCTCAGGGGATGGAGGAAGGGAAGACTCTTGCTGGGATGGGGCTGAGAGGCCTTAGCCCCACAGTGGGGTCCCAGAGAGACCAGTGTGGGGTCAGGGACCCCCAAGCAGTCCAGGATGGGGATGAGAAGTTTGTTTTGGTGGGGCAGAGGATGGGAATGGGTGGAGAGGTCTGTGGGGGGGCCAGGTGGGCAGGCTGAGCCCCATGGAATGGCTGGGGTTGGACATGGATGGGGGAAACTGAGGCACAGGGTTCTGGCAGCAATCAGAGACCCCCAAGACCTTGACCATGTGGGGGCCCAGGGGTGCCATGGGGCACTGGGCTGAAGCAGCACTGCCTTTTGGGCATCCAATGCCACTGGTGGGATGTGGCAGTGCCTGGGCAGTGAAGGCCAGAGTGTGGCAGTCCCTGCAGCAGAGATGCTCCTGGTAGAGGTCCTGCTCCATAATTACCCTCTGCCCGAAGTGCTGGGGGTCCCAGACCCCCCCTGCAGCACCCAGAGGGTCTTGGGAGCAGTGGGCACAGAGGCAGCGCCATGCCGTGCTGGCATCTTCCCTCCTCTGGAAGCTGGGTGCTGATTTCACTCTGGCTACCAGGAAGAGGGAGGGAGGTGGCTTTGGAGTGGGGAGGACTCGCTTGAGCATCCATTTTTAATGAGATAGATATCTATTTTTCCCCGAGCTGGCTTCCCCCACATCGATCCCTTTGCCTGCTCTCCTACCCATGCCAGTGGCTCCATGGCAGTGGGGAGCAGCAGGACAAGCATCCCCAGCACTGGGACCCTCTTGTCTCCCCAAATCCTGCTCCTGCTCCTGGAGGCTGGGGTAAGGCTGGAGGGGGAAAGGGTGCCCTTGTCCCCTCCGGAGGGGTCACAGTCATGCTGACTATCCCGTGGGAATGTGGCTGTGCTCCAGGTAGAAGGGCAACTGAAAACGGAGCACTTGGAGTTTGGGGGCTGGATCTTGTCCTCCTACTCTGCAGATTTAATCTGTGCCTGGCTCAGGCTCTGGCAGCTCCATGGCAAAACCACATCGTCCTGCCTGTGCCTCAGTTTCCCCATGCCCAAGCCACAGCTCCTTGCTCCCCACCCGTGTCTGTGAGGATGGAGCAGCACCCAGAGAGGAGAAAGGGGATCTGGGAGCCGAGTGGGTGCCGATGGTGTGGGAGGGAGCAGGATGGGGTGCGCGGGCGAGCAGAGCTCCTTTGGCAGGATCCCACCCCCACCCAACCTCTGCCCACCTGCCACGGGGCCCAGCCATGTGTGCTGGGGGCTCCAGGGCTGGGGGCTCCGAGGAGGAGCTCGGGGCTGAAGGGGAGAGTGTTTGGGGAGGGGGCAGTTCAGCAGAAGCCGTTTCTCCTGGCTTTCTCCCTGCTGGAGATGTGACCTGTGCCCAGCTCCTGGATGGGGGAAGCAGAAGGCTGGGGGGCTGCACTGTGAGCAGGATCAGTGCCTTTGCTTTCTCGAGTCATCTAATGGCTTTTTGGAGCCTGTGCTGGTACTTAACACCCACAGCCCCCTGCAGCAAGGAGTGCCGTGGCTGAACACTGTCTGCCTTCCCCAGTGTCCTACCAGTCCAGTGCCAATGGCCCCCACCTCAACCCAGCCCCAGCTCCTGGCTGGACCCCCAAGCCCAGCAGCAAAGGGGCATCGCTGTTTGCATGGCCATGGCTGTGCCTGGGGGGATGGAGAGGTTTGGAGGGGCTTGAGTGCCATCAGCACTCAGGGAGCACATCCATGTCCTGGAGACCAGGGGGCTCGGGGGAAGCCTTGGGCTGTGCTCTCCTGGCTCCTCTCTCCTCGTGGGATCTTGAATTTCTGTAAACCTCATCCTGGGCCCAGGAGGGGCAGAAAGAAGGACTGTGACATGCTGGGTTCTGCTGCTGGGCTCTGGCTGGGCTTGCAGTGAGTGGAGACCAGGCTGGGCAGGATCTGGCACATGAGGTCAGTGGGGAGC